CCCAGTTCTTTTTTTTTTTTTTTTTGTAACCCAGTTCTGAGTCAAAGTCTCGCATAAGTGTATATGGGTGGACCCTGAGCCATGAGAAAACTTGCCTGTACAGGAGTCTAGGAAATGTCTTATTTTTTTTTTCAGCTTTTTCTGGTAGGTGGAGAGATGTGTTCGAATGGAAATGTGTGAGTAGTGAATGAATTCATTCTTGGTGTCCACAGTTTCTGATTTCTTTTTTTCTAGTACCAACCTCCCTTCACTGATAAGCAATAAAATGACAAGAATTTGAAAAATGAGTTATGAATCAAGTCATGTCAGGCTGCACTGAGGACCTATGAGAAGAATAAGATCTGTTGAGATATAAAGGAGAAACTGAAGCAGTTAGGTAAGGTTTCATAAATAATCTTGATCTCCTATGCTGGTGTCCCTCACTTTCATGACCTTGTTCTGAAGCTTTCCTGACTCTCTTCTAGTTCAGATACCCCACTCTGGGCTGTGTCCCTTGTCCAGAATTCCTCTTCAAATGCYTAGGCTCTTATACACTTCATTTTGTTGCCCTCACTCKGCTTTCTTCCCTYATGCTCTGACRTTGAGGTAAGTTGCTGTCTTCAAGTTTGTATGAGTCTATGCTTGGGCTCCAAGCACTCCACAATGAGCTTTCCCCCATGGAAGCACTCCTCATCTTGCTTAGGTTCACAAACTTCCGTGTCTCCCTAGTACCCCCTTGCAAGGTAACCTTCTCGGCTGGTTTATTTTTTGACTCTTCATTTTGGCCCACCACCTTGCCATGCGGACATCTTCCTCACCCTTCTCAGGTTCCAATATCCCATCCCAGGTTACCTCTCCCTACACTATGGGGACAGTTTCCTCACTGTGCTCATCCTCTGATACCCTGCTCTGGGTAAATATAGATTCTATCTACCCAGATAGTCATTTGGTTGGCTTTTGACCTGAATTGTTCAGTAAGGGAATTGAAAGGAAGAAAAAGAGGAGGTAACACTTGATACCTGGAACATGGTGTTAGGGAAATTGGATTACAAAATGAGGTAAGATTCAAAGGTGTAAATTGTTCATTTGAGGGGAACGTGATTATCATGGTTTCTGGATCATAGAGTACTTGAGAGGACTAGACTTGTTAAAGGTGAGGATATAGAGTTATGGTGCGATTGTTGAGGTCCTTAAATTGTTAGGAAATGATATTGCATTGGCAATAACTAGATGTGTGAACATGTGATCAGTTTGCACTTCAAAAAATTCACATTGAAGTATGTAGGAGATATGGGGAGACAAAACACTATTAAACCAATTGCATTGAAAAGTACAAAATGACTTGAATCAGGGCTAYAATAGAAGGCATGAGAGAAGGGATACCACTGCATGACTTTATCATTTCAGAATGCCAAGCCAAGCTTGAGCTGTCTTGTGAAGGCCTGACCTTATATGTGAGAGAGGACTTTCATCAAGCTAACTTCCAGGTACCTTGGATTTTGTGGTGCTCTGGATGTTGTAGTTTTGTAGATGCTATAGTTGCACCACTTAGATTCTTCCTTTAGGACATACTAATTTCCCCACCCCAGGACTTTCCCACTGAGTGCTCACAGCTAAGTCCCTCTTCAAAATKGCCCTTAAGTCAAAGGAAGCTGCTTATGTTCCTCATAAAGATACAGCCCGCATTTAATGACTTGTCAATGAGAGGACACAAAATCCCAATCCCCTTGCCTCACTCAATTTAGGACAACTATGAGAGAACATCCTAGCTTCAGATGTCCTCACCTTGAGGTTGGCTGAAGTCTAATATGCAATTATATCATGGTTCTACCTTCCCCYTGACCATTCCTGTACCCCTCATYCKTCATAGGTTTTGCTTCTGAGGGTAYRGCCCAATACACCTYCTACATGCACTCTCAGTCTCAAGTTTGGTCTGATAAACTGRATTTAAAACAAATTGGGGCATGTGTTGGTAATCATTCTCTCTGAGCTTGGTTAACATTCCTTGTTGTTATACATAGAGTTGTTAATTTAGAAGGAATTGCATTTTCCAAAGGCATTTTATTCACTCTCAGAAACTAGTTCAGACATAGGGGAAATTTAGTTTTTTAATAACTATACCTGATAAAAGTTGAAATWAGCTTTGTCTCCTATARGTAGTAAAGATTTGTTTTCTTCCTCTGAATCACTGTAGATATCATGTAATGAGTCACTTCCCATATGATGTGACTRTGAATCACTTCCAGTGTGGCTCTTGACTTCYAGAAGACTCATGTCTATCATCATGGAGGCCATACAATCATACTTGAAATGATATAKATTATGATTTTTTAAAACCCAAGGATACATTTTAAATTTCTTTATTGTTGTTGTTTATTTTCAATTTTGTTGTTTATTGGGTTGGAGACAATAGAAATAAATTAATGATAGATTGGAAATGTATACTTCTTGAGAGAGTCTAACATTTGTGCTTAGAATATTACCAGATACATAGTATGTATAAATAAACATCTGTTAAATAAAAAATCAGTTAATAAATAATTATATAAAATTGAATACAAGTCCACAGGAGCTCTTCAAGTAGAAGAATTTAACATATAAGAAGGAGTACAAGTCCACAGGAGCTCTTTAAGTAGAAGAATTTAACAACGATAGTTTACAACTAGTAATCATCAAGTGTCAGTTTCTTGCTATTCTAGCTGCATTCATCTGAGTTTAAAATGTCTTGGGGTTTTTAGGATTTTTTTTTTTTTGGTAATAAAGTGATAGACTCTAACATTGACTTAAAAGTGTGATTTGATACCAAGAATAATTTTCAGAGATCGAAGGCATGAATGGATTGTGAAGCAAAATACTTTAGCAGACACCCATACAATTTGATACAAAAATATTTTTGTTTTATTTATCTAAACAATTCAGTCTAACGTTTCATTCTCTTTCTCTCTCCCCCAWCCTTAAAAATTTGTGTTTCTTTTCCCATTTTTGACTTAAAATTTAAGGTTAAACAGGGTCCCAAGATGCCTATCATGGTACAAAAGTCATTTTGAAACCTTGTTTGGCTAGTCTCTGGCTAACACAGGGCCCCAAGTCCTTTCCTCTGCTCACACATGGAAGAGAAGGGGAAGTGCTGCTGCTGCCATCACTCCTTCAAGGCTTGGAGAAACCCCTGAGGCTGATCTGGCTTTTATCTTTACTCATTATTGCTTGGAAAAAGCCTGAGCAGCAGTCTTATTTGCCAGGGACTATCCCCGGAATTGTCCCAGTTTTAGTACTAAAAGTCCCCTGTCCTTAGACACCCCACAGCCTGCAACAAATCTGGACATCTAGTTGCCCTAGTAAATAAGGGCCTTCCCACAAACATTTATTAGATGGAAGTAATTTGGTTAATCCTTGGTCTGTGCTAGGTGAGGACATGTCCTCCTTTGCCACAGATCTTACATGAACAAGTGAGTGAAATGCAAAAAGCTCTAGAACTGGGCTGAATTCATTACTCAGGCCAAAAAAAAAAAAAAAAGGTAATATACTTTATATGTCAGCCACCACCTCAGCTGGATGTGTCATCAGGAAAGAACTTGGTGGACCAAGAACAGAAAATTCTAAGAAACTCTTGAGAGTTTGTAGAAAAAAAATTTAAAATCAAGGTATTTTGCTTTAGTTTAGGCCTAGAAGATAGATTCTTAGACCAATTTGTGGAGTCCAGAAGACAAGGTGACAATGAATCAAGAAGCCAAGGAAAAAGGAAGCCAATAAATATGTGTTTTAAATACTTCATCATGAGGATAGAGTACATGGTTAGTCTCACATCTTGTATTTCTTCACTGTTTAACTTGAAACCTGCTGTCACAATTTTTGGCAGACATCTTTTTCACAGATTTTATTCAGTCATATATTGATATGGCATTACTTGCTAAAGGTATATAATATCTTGGATTCTGTTTAGATTACTACTGCAATTGAAAATGGAGACCACGCTGCAGCTTCATGAATGAATGATCTTGTCCTCTTGCCCTGTGCACTGTCACTTCTAGAACAGCGGTGCGGCACATAGCAGGTACTAAAATATATTTGTTAAATGACTGGTTTCTATCCTCACAGAGATGAAAGACCTGATTGCATATCAAGATAATGTAAAGTTAAAAACACATAGCAACAAACAGAAGAATTACTAAAAGGCAGTGTGTAAGTAAGATGTGAACTTTTTATCATAAAGCATTGACTTTTAAAATAAAAACTATGAGGTAGCACCTCATATTACTGTCCATCATGCCTATGGAGCTGCAAGTTCTGAAATTAGTCTTAACCAAGGGAGGTGCAGAATGAATAAGAAGAGAAATTGCACACAGACTTCAAATTTCTGCAGGAGTTTGTGTAGGGTAAACTAGCTTGCACTAAGATCAAATTAATTTATAATTAGTTAAATTTATTTTTAAGTGATCTATAAAACATAAAAATGGTCCATAATAATGTAGATGTTTCCATATACGTATTCATTGTGTAATGCTTAAAATCAGGTTACACATGTCCATCTCCTTAATCAATTATCATTTCCAAGATGAAATTCTCAAATCTGGAGCTTGGGGTGAATGACAGGTCAAAGTATTTTGAGATATAACTTTTTATTCCTAAGGAAGTCGCTCCCTCCTTCTCCTCTCCCCTTCCCACCCTTTCTTGGCTAGGTGAGATGCTGCTACAAAATAAAAAAAAAAAAAAAAAAAAAGGAAGAGGAAGTTTGCTTTCTCAAACACAGGCATGGCAGATACAAGTGCGTGTGTAGGGGTGGGGAGGGGCTGAGTGTGGTCTGAGCAGATCACCACCTCCCAGGGAATTGCTGGCCTTAGGTCTTCCGACCTCTCAGAGGGCTGTTCCAGCACAGCTGGGGGAAATAGGCCAGGCCTGCAGGATCTGTGGGCATGTTTAATTTCTAGAGGACATTTGTTTTTCTCAACTCCTCTCCGCCTTTCAAAATCTGGCAAGCGTTAGTCATCTCCAGCTCGGCACGAACCCACAAGTGTGAGCGCGTAGCTCTGCGGGCTTCAGACCCGACCCCGCCCGCCTCCGGCGCACACTGACACATTAGCCCGGAGCTGGCCTCAGCGCGCTCTGGGTCTTGGCGGGGCTTCTGTCAAGCCGCTGGCCCCAGGGCACGCTCCGCCTCCTCAGCTTAAGGGGACGGCCTGGCCCAGCTGTGAGGGATCCAAGCCGAGCACCGRGAAGAAAGTTTTGCAGCGCGGAGGGGAGTTGGGCCGCGGAAGGAAGGAAACCCAAAGAGGAGGGTCTCCACTCCAAGTTTGTTTGGTGGTCGCCGCGATCGTGGGGCGCCTGTCCCGCAGCTCTCCGTAGCGGCCAGACTTCAGCCTTCCGGGCGGATGGGACTCTCTGTTCGGGTCCGAGACCGGCGCTAGAGGCTCATCAGGGACCCGGGAGGAACTTGTCTGGCGAGCTGTCGCTGTGGGCCTTTATTGTCTGCTGGAACTCTCCGGAATCGGGAGGGGGAGGACTGGATCGCGCTTCCACTGGGATTCGTCAAGAGTTCCGGCGGCAGCTGTGGCTGCAGCGGAGACTCCCTTTGTCCTCTCAGGACCTCCCTCTCTCCCTCTCTCCCTCTCTCCCTCTCTCCCTCCCTCTATCAGTTGGTGGGTCCAGCTGACCCGGGCGCCGGCGCCCCAGCTGCTCGCAGCGCTCCCATCCCAGAGCCAGTCCTTGGTGACTCCAGCCTCCGTTGCTTATCTACCCTGCCGAGCCAAGGGGGCTACGGGCAGGAGGGAGTCTAAGGCCCCCCGGCCACAGGATGGTGACCCGAAGGTCTGCGGCCCGCAGCTCCGGGAGCTGGCTGTTCCCAGGGCTGTGGATTGTGGTGCTCAGCGGTCCTGCGGGGCTGCTGCACGCGCAGGAGCAGCCCTCTTGCAGAAGAGCCTTTGATCTCTACTTCGTCTTGGACAAGTGAGTGCGGAGGGAGGCCAGGGTCTCCTGGTGAGGGTGGCACTGGATCAGAGGCAGTTAGGGAGGTGGAGATGAGCATGTGCGCCCTGGGGAGGGGTGTTGGAAACCCGCGGATGGGTGCCCTGTTGCTATCTCCTTTCGGCAAGCGYTTTTGGATCTCTGTGGGCTGGAGAGGGATGGAGTGGTGGTGATGGGAACCCAAGGCTACTGGGCCCTCTGGGGAGGTGGAGTATATTCACTGCTTGCTAGTTTGGGGGCCTCTTGGGAAAAGTGAGTGCGACCACCTGGGGTGGCATTCTTGTCCCAGGGACTTTCTGTCTCTTGATCCTAACCCACCCAGCACACACAGGCTGTCTGAAGTTTCCTTGGTTTTATCCTGATCACATTGCTTTCTTTGGAGCAAGGAAAAGCCTTAACATGCCCAATATGGTTTGCATTTTGTGCGGAAAAAGCCTTTTGTGTTTATTGTGAAAAGCTGAGTCCTGCTCCAAACAATTAGCAGCGGGAGAGTCCCCCAGATTGGCTGATGTCCTTGGCTCTGGTAGCACCAAAGTTACTGGAGGAGGGTATCCTCACTTTGCTTGAAAAGGAGGGCAGCCAGGGTTGGTCTTGGTAGTACTAAATAAATGTTTGTATTTTAGTTTTGTTTTTCTGATCAGTTTAATTTCTTTTTTTTTCAGGTCTGGGAGTGTGGCAAATAACTGGATTGAAATTTATAATTTTGTCCATCAACTTACTGAGAGATTTGTGAGGTATTTTTCCCACTTTACTTTTCTTGGAAATGGAGAGGAAGTAGATCAAAATGTAGAATTTCTCCTTTACAAAACCTTTTGCAGGAAAAAACCTTTTTCTGAAATGTTGATTTTTTAAGTGCCTCAAGGAGGTTATTGCACACATGTTATTAGGACAGCTGTTCAGTCCTTGAGGGCTTATTTTATCTGGATCCCCAAAACTTGGCTCAGACTCTGGGGAAGCATCTTCAAATACTATTCCAAATGTCTTTTCCTTTTTGAATTTTCATCTGTTTTGAATTTCAGTTATGCTTTCTCATAATTTATCACATTAAAAAATTAATTTTATGCTAATAGTATCCATAATATATTTTCCATTTCACACAATTCTTACTATTGTAGAGGTCCTCATTTAAGAGAAAAAAAAAGTGTTGGAAAACTTCAAGTGAACATGTGTTAATAACCCACTACCAGAAAAAGCACTTGTGTGTGTGTTTAAAGAAATGACTTGTGTTTACACAATGTGTGGGTGTGTGGCTGGTTTAAAATTTAACTGTTCTATATATGCAATAAGCTTCACTAGGAAAGACTGGTTTCTTTTCCTATAAAAAGCATTACTGCTATGAAATCCAGCTTACTCTCTTATTTAGAGGTAACCAGGAATTAGTGGCATCTCTTATTTAAAAATAACCCTGAAATAGTAGGCTTTTTTTTCCCCCCTCTCCTCTCTCTCTCTTTTTTAAGGAAAAGAAATGCAATGAGCAAATGCAAGTTTATCAAGATAATGGAAAGGACATGAATAGGAACTGTATCATTAAATATTGCTTCTTTCAGTCTTGTTAGCCCAAATGTTTTCTGTAAAACAGGCTTGGATGATCAAAACATTTTGAAAGTCATGTTGCAAGTAACTTCAAACAATCTGTAGAGGCCTAGGCAATCCTTGCTTTCAGTTATTGGCAGCAGTAAAGTTATCCCTATAAAAATGTATGCCTGTCCATGTTCAATCATCAGTCCCCTGCTTAAGAAGCCAAATATAGCACTCTCATTTCTGGACAAGGTCTGAGGTAAAATTGCCTAGGGAAGAAAAAGAAACAAGACCCTCCTATGTCCTTACATGTCAAAACAAAACAGGCAGTTGTTTATAAATTTTCTGATTTAATCCTATGGTATGCAGAGAGCGTCACATAGTTTTGATCAAAAGCAATGAATTATTTCAATGCAACAGTTGAAGAAAGTGAGACTCGTATTCATTTAGTCTGGTTTGCAAATTGGAATTCTATAACATACAGTTCTCTGGTGGAAGCTTATTTGCTTATGGAAGCTTATTTGCTTATTGTAGGAAGTGAATACCAGATGACTACTGAAGAGAGTGATGTTTAAAGTATGTATGAGCCTTTGAGACAATTCTGATCTTCAGTTTGTAGACCTTAGTTTCATATCTTCAGTTTCAGATCTTAATAATAGTTTCAGATCTTATTAACAGTTTCTTATACACTGAATACTAGAAACAAGAACCATTCTTTAAGATAGCTGCCTATGACCTGAAAGATGTAGCTGATTGGAACAATTACTGCTGATTGGAAATATAATATTTGAGATGTCAAAATACTTCATGAAAAAGTGATGTGTTAGTTTTTCATTTTATTACAATTTACAAGACACTCTTTAAATATTCTCACTTTGGGATGAATTGTATGTGGACCCTTATCATAATTGTGGTCATTAGGTCAAACTGGCTGCTTTCTAGCCCTACTTATGTTAAGGATAATCACTCTGAAGGGTCTGGTCTCCTTCAAGGAGATGAAGTCTAACACTAAGGGAAGAAGCGATTTCTATGAAAGATTTTACATCATCCCCAAATTTATCTTTCCAGTTAATCTCTTTCTAAATGCAAACCCCTATGAGCCCTGGAGGGATTGCATTGACTAAATACAAAATGACTTATGCAATAATGTTAAGCAGACTCAGTGTAGCTACTTGGGAAGTTCCATTTAAAAGAAGTCTGGACCATCAGTGAGACCAATTTTAAATGGGACTTAGCTATACATCTGTATTATATCAATATTTCTTTTAAAATGTTTTAAATGCCTCTTTTCTTATTTTGCAGCCCTGAAATGAGATTATCTTTCATTGTGTTTTCTTCTCAAGCAACCATTATTTTGCCATTAACTGGAGACAGGTTAGTGCATTATCATTTCACAGCAGGCTTTTTAGTAGAGATGAATCTTAAAGGCATGATTGATATTTCCAAGTAGTAATTCAGGCCTCTCAGTGGAATCAAGCAAATGTGCAGACAATTCAGTTCTCTATGCTAATAGAAGGGAAAGGAGGTATGAGCAATGGAAAATAGCAGATAATCTGAAAATCTATATCTTTTATGTTGGCTGTGGAATGTACAAGGAAGCCCAGAACCTTGCCTTAGTTGTAGATTCATAATTTTCTACCTTTCCCCCTCTCTATTAGTGTGAGTAGCTCTATATTTTTTTTTGTTTGGATGTAATGTATTAATCAACAAGGATTTGAAAGATGATTGGAAAGGAGAAAGATATGGAATCTATTTGGATAATTCAGTAGATTCATTAGAAATCCCAGATTTTCTCTCCTTTGAGGTCCACTGATACTGAATATATTCAACTTTATGAAGGAACACATACCACACACACAAAATCTCCTTAGTGCTTTTAAGAGATGTGGCTTTTCTCAGGCTTATGTCATGCATTTCTGTGACTTGATCTTATCATGGCAGGCTGGAAGAAGTCATTGACATATTTAAAGAAAGGCTGCTTTCAAGGAGATCAGTTTTGCTTAGTAGACTGTAAGCACCATAGCTAGAAGGAGGTTTTATTCATTTTTATTTTTACTTTGTCTAACCCAAAGTATATAAGATTTTGCCCAATGAATTCTTACTTAATGAACAAATGAATCAGCATTATTTTGAGATCAGATTTCTCCAATCCGGTAGTTTTAACAAGGGAAACTAATACACTTTCTTTTGCATGATATATGGATTTCTGAAATGGTATATGTGAACACAGTTTTTTTTTTACCTTGTAAAATTTAATTTAAACAATTGATTGTCATTTGCTTCTTGACCATCTATTTCTATGAAAAGGTCAAGTAAGTATAACATTTGAAAGGGCTCAAGGAGAGAATTTCTTTATAATTCACTGAATTGATTTGGAAACATTTATGTATAAGCTTTTAACTTTGTTCATTAACTTTCCTTTTTCTTGAGAGGAAATCTAGGTGGTAAGACCACTTCAGTCTTCCAATCAATATTTTGCTTTCTTACTTTCTTGTGTGCATGTGGTTCTCATCAGGAATTAGGGTAATAGTCATTCCTTACAACCTCTGTACAGCAGTTTTCTATGCCCAGTGTTATAACAGTTCTTGACTTTGTAAAAAGAAATTTTCTCCATTGCCCAACTTAATTTCCAAAGAAACAGGTTTGGATCTAGCATATCAAGGGAAAAAAAGAACAGTTTTAACATTTATGTCATGCATATATATAGAAAAGCACTTAGCATAATGCCAGACACATAGAAGACTTAGTAATTGACAGCTACATACATTGTGCCAGCTTCTCTAGGCACTTTGCATAAGGGTCCTCCAGCACTTTGGAGATGAAGCGTAGTCACTGGTTGCCCAGATTGGTATTCCTTAGACAAGCATGGAAGGGGTTGAAATCTTTTAGTTGGAGATTCTTTCTTTATGGGTGGTTGAATCCAGTAGAGGAAAGGTTGAAATGGGTTCGAGAAGAGGTTTCTCTTTCAAGAGGCCATGTTATTGATGTACTTTAATGTTGCAGTTTAAATTTGTTCTCCAATTTTCTAGTCAAAGTCAAGAATAAGTTGCTTAACCTCTTTCTGCTTCCATTTTTCCACCTATATAATGATAATGACAATGATGATGATGATAATGCCTACTTCATAGAGTTTTTTTGCAAGAATTGAATTGATAGTGTGGAGAATGTAGGACAGAGTCTAGAACATAAGTATTCAAGAGATAAAAAATTTATTATTATTATCTAGAGCTAGGGAGTATGCAGTATTTTAATGATCACAGAAGAATTATGCTTATATAAAGGGAATATTGTTATATGTTTCATTTCAGCTATATGTATATTTTTGATAAGTAGAAATTTGAGTGTGTAGGGATAAGGAAATGAGGAATAAGAAAGAGCATAACCATCATATATCACTTCTCTCTCTTGAGAGAGAGACAAGACAAACTGTAAGAGGGTAAATATTGAATAATATTTTGAAATCATCTGTAATGTTGCAGAATAACCAGAAATTCCTCTCCTAATTTTTAAATAAATTATACTATTCATGAAAAAAGGGAATATTGTCCTACTTAAAGAGATTGATACTATTCCATGAGTAATTCTAATAATATGACTTGCAATTTATTTTATATATAGCTGACTCCTTTTTTTCCAAGTAAAAATGCTTTTTGTGGTGTATTGAAATAGTTTGGGATGACAGAAGATATACTGAGAAACCCTGGGTAATCACTCTAGCTTTGCCACTTTTGGAGACTTGAGACAAATCATCTACTTAGTGTGTCTGTTTTTCTGTCTATAAAATAGAGACATAAAATCTGTCATATTTTCTTAGAGCATTGTTGTGAAGATCAAAATAAGATGATGTATATTGTATATCATAGAACAATTTCCAATAAAGGATTTTGTTTTCATATAAATTGTTCTTTTACTAATTTTATCAGTTGAATCAGCAATTTTTCAAATTTCTATAGTCCTCTATATTCAGGTATGGGGTCAATTTTCTTCCATTGAACAATTTTAAGTATGAAGAAACAATTTACATATTTTATGGTTGAGGAAATGTTTCCACAACTCTTGGGGACCTTTGTTTGTAAACCTAGAAATTGGAATCCTACATGTAAACTTTTCTGCTGTCTTGAAGCATACTCACAAATAGGTCTAAGTACATAATTCAGAAAGCAAAGATTAAGAAAAGTACAGTGGTTTCATAATTTTGGGTCAGTTACCCATAATTCTTCAGTACCTCAGTAAATATGAGAAGTACCTCTTTCATGTGTCTCAGAATGTTGCTAAAGTTTTTCAGGAGAGGTGAGGCAAGTTTGGAGGACAGTAAGTGCTTATGTAGGGCCATGTCTTCTGTTATGGCTTCAGGATGGTGTTCAATAAATAAGTGTACAAATAAATAATAAACATGGCAAGATATTTCATTACATATTTATATACTCATTAGTTTAAAAAATTCTTTTAAATATTTCAATTTGAATTAGTCCCACCTTTTCTCTTACCCCCTGGTTTTTATCCTCCATGTGTTTGTTAGTTCAACCTTCCACCTACCTACCTATTTGCCTGCCTACCTTATATACAGGATCTGAGGATAACATAAAGATGAATGATCTAGTGTGGTGAGTAGGGACATGACCATATACATAAATAGTCTGGGGTTACATTATAGGCTCAGGTAAGAGAAAAATGCCAAGTGTTGATTAAATATGGAGATATCCAGCTTTTCGATATTAGAGAATATGGAATCAGGATGGATTTTTAAAGAATTCGTCATGATGTGGCATAAATACAGACAGTGAATTATGCTTAGTTCTGTTCAGTATTATCTTAATGTGGTAATAGTGATTTAGGTTAAAACACTTGTTAGACAATTTTTGTGTGCCAGGCAGTGTGTAAAGTGCTTTGTATGAATAGCCTCAGTTAATCCTGTCAATTCCATGTAATAGATAATGTTATTGTCTCCATTTTATGAATGAGGAAACTGAAGCCAAGAAAAATAATGTATCTTTTCTAAGGACACACAGTTAAAAAACAGTATGTTAGCTAGAAGATCTTTTAAAATTTGAAACGGATCATGCCACTCTTATGCTTAAATTGGTCTAATGGCTTAGAATAAAAAATAAGTGCCTTCTGATGGCCTCAGAGCTCTACCTGACTGCCCCGCCTCATCTCTGCTACAACACTCCATCCTGCAGTCTAGCCCAGCCATCCTTTTTTTCCAGTGCCTGCATGAGCCAAGCTTGTTTGTGCATTAGGCTCTTCACTCTTTCTCTGCCCCAGATCTTCTCCTGGGTAGCTCATTCTTGTCATAACTCACCTCCCATGTCGCCTCTTCTAAGAAGCCTTTCCAGGTCACCACGTCTAAAGGAACCCCACCACTCTTGCATATTATCTCTTATAACACTCTATTTGATTGTTACTTTTTGAAATTTTTCTCTTAATCATTTTATTTGTATCTCTATGACCATATTATTAACTATGAAAATAGGGAACCTTAATTTTTTTTTGTGCATTCATATTGCCCAACACCTAGAACAGGTCCTGAGACATAGTGGAAGCTCAATAATTATTCGTTGAATGAATGATTAAGTTCTTCTGACTCTAGAACCTGAATTATTAATTGCTGTCTATAAAGATTTTCTCTTTATAGTTGTACTGTTTAATTAATGGTGACTTAGATTTCCTACTTTCCTTAATCCTACTTACATATTTCAGTGATAAACATCTCAAACTTCCTTTTCTATATATGTACTTGCATTTTAATTGAGTCATAATTGTTTGACTTGAGCAGGATGGTCAATTGCTTAGGGAAAATAATAGTCCTTAGGCAAACTTGTAGAAAATCATAGAAAAGTCAATTAAGTTCAGACAAGATACACATTTCTATTATTTGCATGAAGTTTTGGCTACTCATTCCTACTTCCCAATGGGCAGCATGTGAAGCATCAGGACTACCAATTCTATGTATGGTATCCTGAGAAACAGTCAATTGTCTTTACAGCTATTTACACTATTGTTTTTGGTAATTTATTATGTAGCATTCTGAAACCAACATAGAAATTGTGACTTCATCAGTAGCTGAAGAATCTTGAAGAAATTGATGGGAACACTGGAAGAACAGTGCATAAATTGTTACTGGAGGCATAAGCAGAGATAGCCTTTGTGTGTAGTGGTAGAAAGTCTGCTGAGAACATGGAAAGTTAAAAATGTGTACAATCAACTAGTGGATGTGGCTCAGGAGCCCCCCAGGAGGACCGTTGAAGGTGTCAGGTAGCTTCTTTCAGCTACCTGTGATGACATGAGAGGAGCAAAATGGGTGGAAGAAGGAACTCCTGTTTTCAAGCAGGATTTAGAGAAAGTATAAAAAGCCAAAACTTCATGCATTTAAG